ATAGGGTAGTCGACCGGCCCTGGCCGGATTTCCATTGCCTCTTATAGTACGGTACGATGTCGCAATCGTGGACCTGAACACCAGGCCCTGAAGGCAACGGTTCACCCACATCCGGTAACGTCGCTGCCCATCGGATCCGACTGACTAACGAGACCGCTTTCAATTGGAGAAATCAGTCGTTCGCGAGCATTCGCGCCGAATGCTGTAATGGAGAGAAAGGATATGACCTCACAGACCAACCCGGGCACCCTGGATTCCGCAACCTTGGCCGGTTTTCGGGAAGCCTTTGAATCCCAACCGTCCCACCAACTGATGCAGAACGTCGTCACCCAGCACGACGTCAACGATGTGGCGCTCGACCGCAATATCGTCGCTGCGGCAACCCACACGTTTTCCAATGTCCTGGACGATTGGGGCGTTACAAACCAGGCCCGCTCCGGCCGCTGCTGGATGTTCGCCGGCCTGAATCTGTTCCGGGCGGAAAGCAAAAACCTGCTCAACGTCAAAGAGTTCGAGTTCAGCCAGAGTTATGTAATGTTCTGGGACAAGATTGAGCGAGCCAATTACATCCTGGAAGCAGTTATCGAGACCGCCGACCGCCCCATTGACGATCGGGTGGTAGCTTGGCTACTGCACCAACCCCTTGGAGACGGCGGCCAATGGGATATGTTTGTCAGCCTGATGAAGAAACACGGCGTGGTCCCAAAGGCCGTGATGCCCGAGACGGAAAGCTCCAGTAACTCGGCGCGCATGAACGCCAGCCTGAACTACCAGGTCCGCCAGGGAGCTCGGAATATCCGCCAGATGTTCACCAAAGAAGGGGGATTGGTTGCTATGCGCCAGGCCAAGGAGGAGGCTTTGCGTTCCATTTATCAAATCCTCTGCATCCACCTGGGCAACCCGCCGACAGACTTCGACTGGCAATGGAAGGACAAGGACGGAGAATTCCATCGGGACGCCCGTATGACTCCCCTGGAGTTCGCCGAAAAATACATCGCCACCCCTATGGAGGAATACGTTTGCCTGGTCCACGACCCGCGCCAGTCCAGCCCGCCGGGCCGCACCTATACCGTCCAGTATCTGGGCAACGTGGTGGACGGGGAACGGATCAAATACCTCAACGTAGACATCGATTTGATGAAGGACATTGCCATGCGGATGCTCCTGGACGGCAAGCCGGTCTGGATGGGCTGCGACACAGGTAAGCAGATGCACCGCGACAAGGGATTGTGGGACGCCGATTTGTTCGACTACGCCAATGTCTATAACGCCGAGTTCGCCATGGACAAGGCGGAACGGCTGGAATACCACCAGACAGCCATGACCCACGCCATGCTGTTTACTGGCGTGGACGTGGTTGACGGCAAACCGCGGCGCTGGCGGGTGGAAAACAGCTGGGACGACAAGGTGGGAGACAAGGGATTCTTCCTGATGAACGATTCCTGGTTCGCCGAGTATATGTTCGAAATCGCAGCCCCCAAAAGCTATCTCCCCGAAGCCCTGCAGCAAGCCCTGGATCTGGAGCCCATAGTGCTGCCGCCGTGGGACCCGATGGGATCGCTGGCGGATTGATAATCGATAGGCGCACCGCCCTGTACCTAAAATAACCGGGGAGTCGGCAGGTGCGTCAACGGGTCGGGGCGATCTTCTGACCCATCGGGCCCCCGGCCCAGAGGTCAATCCCGTAGCCGGACCGGCAAGATTCGTTCAGACGATGTTCGGCTACGACTGATTCGCACTGACTTTTTCAGGCGTTAGGTAACGAATCGGTAATCTTCGCCCGGTTCGGGCCATGAGAACCCCCCCGTTCCAATAGGAAACGGGGGGTCTTTATCAGCAATGGTGCCGAGGGGCGGATTCGGAATCATGCATGATGTACCACCTAAATAGCCGAGATTTTATACTTGGATCTGAGGTTTGGTACTGCCGGATATCGGGTGGTACCGGGAATTAGTCCGCCATTTGGCCGCCATCAGTCCGCCATAGGCCGCCATTTTCAGCTCTCCCGGTTTCGTTTCAATTCCTCGGCAAACGCCTGGGCGGCTTCCCGTTGCCACCCCGGCAGAGAGTGTGCATAGATATCGGACGTGATACTGACATTGGAGTGCCCCAGGCGTTTTGAAATGACGACGATGTTCTGCCCTGTCTGCAACGCCACCGAGGCGTGGAAATGGCGCAGACTCCGGAAGGTTACTCCGGAGCAACCAGCTTTATTCCGCAATCGCTCAAGGGAGCGAACCAGGGTGTTGGGATGCGACCAGTCGCGGCTGAATTTCCGCGTAAACAGGATATCGGGTGCTGGCACTCCGAATTGCCGCGCGGTTGCCACCTGCTTTTCCTGGTGCTGGCGCAACACTGCCACCGTATCGTCGTCCAGATCAACAATCCTTTCGCCGCTGACCGTCTTGGGCGGCTCCAAACGCACTCCCTGGCTCGTTGATACCAGAGAACCCACGATACGCAGTGTCTGATTATCCAGGTCGACGTACTCCCATTTTAAACCAAGGGCCTCGCCCCGTCGCAGGCCAGTGTAGGCAATTAGATGCAAGCAGGGCTAGATGTAAGATTCGGTCTCTTTGGCGTAGTCGAGCAAACGCTGAACGGTATCAATATCGGGAGTCGGAGCTTCGTTGCGACGCGCGACGGGCGCCTTGGTTAAGCTGACCGGAATACCCGGGATGAGTTCCATGTTCACCGCGTGCTGCATCGCCGCTCCCAGCACATGATGCGCCATTTGCACGCTCTTGGCTGACTTCCCTTCCCGCAGCAATCTGGCGCTGAGGGTTTGCACCTGTAGGGGCGTGATTTTCCCTAATTCATGCTCGCCCAAAAATGGTGCGATATGCAGCCGGATAATCCCGGAATAGCGTTCAATCGTTTTCTGCCGTCGGTGGGGCACAATCATATCGTTCATCCAGGCCTTAAGCCAGTCACGAAGCGTGTAACGCTCCATTGGAGGAGCAATACCCTGGTCGAGGTCAGGAAGGATCTCGCGGAGCCGGCGCTGAGCCTCGGACTTACGCCCTCGAACGGTTTCCATATGACGCAGGCGCTTGCCGCTGGAATCGCGGCCCAGGTAGACCTCAAGGCGCCAGGATCCCGGACTGCGTTGCCTGATAGTGCCTTTCATGTCGGGTCCTCAATGCTCTCGAAACGACCAACGAACCCGGCCAAGTATATCAGTCCGTGACCGGTCCACCTCGACGATTTCGCCGTCTCCCGACACTATTTTGAGACGGCGCCGGTTCATGATATAGACGTGCCGGGCGGCAATGGCCTGGTTGTGGGCCTCAGATCGGACCGCGTAAATCCGGCCGTCGACCATCGGTGCATCTGGATCGACGACCAGAATATCGCCATCAAAGATGGCCGAAGAAGCCAAGCTATTGCCGTTAACCCGGAGCGCGAAGGCGCGCGGCGCCTGACGGCGGATATTAGCTGGCGCCTCGATTGTCCCAAGGTCTGACTCCCAGGCTTCAATCAAGCCACCAGCTGAGATCGAACCAATGATACGTAGAGCGTCGAGGTCAAGTTCCTGCAGGACTTCCTTATCATCCTGCAGCCAGGAAACCGTGGTCCCATAGAGCGCCGCCAGGCCAATCAGCGAAATAACGGGCGCGGCGTCAACGTGCTGGCTTTTGGGCTGCCCGGCACCGGCAAGACCCACGCCCTGTGCGCCCTGGGCCACCGCCGCGGCGATTGACCGGGTCGTGCACCACTCCGTCATCCTGGAGTTTGACGTCCCCAGCTACCGGACCAATGCTGCCCAGCAACGGGGCCAGGCCAAGGAGGTGAACCGGCAAAACTGATTGACGCCAACCGGCAAATATAGTTGACGCGGGACACAGCCCGCTAACCAGACCTTGTCCTTTTTCCAAGCATAGGCGCAAAAAAGAGAAGCCCGCTGGTATATACAGATTGATGGATAGGAAGGGCTAAAAACCTACCTGTATCCTTGTTTGTAGAGGAATAGAGCCAGAATGAAGTGAGGAAAGGGTAGGGTGAAAATAGGCCGTTCTTATGGGTAGCCTCGAACTGGGAGTAGCTGGAAATGCTACATGCTGAGTGTCCAGCTCAACTGTTGGGACCTCTAGGAGTGCCCCAATACATGGGATGTACCAAAAGAGGTCCTAACCGATGTGAAGTGCGCCAGAGCCGTGACGCCTTTTCTCACCAGCTACTTCAGATTGCCACCCTCATAAGCCCTGCGTACAATGCAACTATCTCCTGCGCTCAAGAATCAGAGGCTCCGGCATGGCTAGTGAACGGATACAACGGCGTATTGGCCTGCCTCCTTGATGAAGCGGACGAGGCGGTAGCCCAAGGCGATTGGGCGTTGGTACGCGATTGTTCTCAGAAGGTCCTGGTGGTTGACCCGGAGAACCAAGAAGCCCTCACTTTCCTGGCTATCGCAGAGAGAGGGCTTGGAACTCAAGATACTTCCTCGCTTGAGCGGGCTCCTGTTCCCTCAGCGCCTACTCCCGCCCCCGCTCCACCAGACGCCCAGCCCACCTCCTTCGCTAACGGCCGCTATGAGGTCAAGCGTTTCTTGGGTGAGGGAGGTAAGATGGTCACCGGCAGGCCTCCTTTCCTGGGGGACGACTCAGTGCAATCATCGGGCAACATATCAACACTCCGCCGGTGGCCCCCACCTGGCACAACGGGCAGTGCCCGCGCCCTTTAGAAGCATTGATACTCAGGTTGTTGGCCAAGGACCCCTCGGAGCGGCCCCAGCCGCCTCAGCCTTGACACCCTCTCGGATAGCATTACAATCGAGCTATAGCCTTGTTACGGAATCTTGTCTAAAGGGACAAAATTCTCCTCTCGTGCTTCAAACCCTTATGTACCGAGGCCTCGTCATAAATACTCCACCATAGGATCAGGACACTGCACACTGTCCGCGGGCGGGAGTTTTTGTATAGGAGGACGTTTCCTGTGGAACATGTCCGAGTGTGCCGCTTCTGTGGACACATTGACTCGGTGGACGATGCAGGGAGGTTGCAATCACTGCCGGTCTTTCTCTGGCCTTACTTCCGTTACTCGGGCAGAAGCGAAACGGATATCTCGCGGCCGGCGGTTTAGTCTTCTGCGAAGCCGCCTCTTGCGCCTGGGGCTGGTCCTGGCCCTCATTGCAGGGCTGGGAGTCTGGGTAATGTGGAACTTGTTTGATCTGGCTCCCAACCCACCCGGTGCCACTACCAATATCAGCGCCAGCGTTGGCCCCCACACTTGGGCCCAAGGGCGACGTGTCCCGACAGAACTCCGGCTTTACTCCCGACCCAGCGCCCATTCCGCAAAAAGTGAAATGGACTTATGCTACCTCTCAACCCCTTCTCTCTTCGCCTGCGGTAGTGGGGGACCGGGTATACCTCACCACCGAGGATGGCCGCGCCGTGGCCCTGGACCGGGAAACAGGTCAGGAGGTGTGGCAGTACGAGGGTGGTTCCCCGTCAAATACAACTCCGGCGGTGGTAGAAGACTTGGTATTTTTCACCCTTCGTCCTGGCCTGGTCGTGGCCTTGGATCGAGAGAACGGCTCCTTGCGGTGGGAGAAGGACATCGGGAATGCCATATTAGCCTCGCCCATTGTGGTCAATGGCACCCTGTACATCGGAGCCGCAGACCGTAAATTGTACGCCTTGGATGCCGCCACCGGGCGAGAGCGTTGGGCTTTTGCCACCTCGAATTGGGTCATCTCCTCGGTAGCTTACGCCGACGATACGGTGATAGTTACATCCCAGGACAATCTTAATTATATTTTAGATGAGCAAACCGGCCGCAAGCGCTTGGATTACGATACAGGCCGAGGCAGGCGCACCCTTGGAGCACCGGCAATCAAGGGAGACCTGGTCTACTTGGGTTCCTATGGCGGCCGAGTGTGGGCAATAAACCGCAGGGCCAAGAACCATCCACTGGACGGGACCATATTGTATTGGAAGACTAGCCTGCACCTATGGGGGGTTCTCCCAAATCCGCCGGTGCAAAGAGGCAGCGTTTGGGCCACCCAATTGGAAGGTGACGTAACCCAAACCCTTGCTGTTGCCCACGACATGGTCTATGTAACCAACACGGACGGCAAAGTATTTGCCCTTGACGCAGCTACGGGCACCGAAGAATGGGCTACTGATCTGGGGGTCAAAATTACCGCCGCTCCCACTGTGGCCGGGCGAACGGTGCTGGTTGGAACCCCATGGCGGCGCAGTCTTTGGCCTGGATGGCAGTACCGGTGCAGTGTTATGGGACTTCAAGACCGGAGGAAAGATCACTGGCAGCCCCATAGTGGCTGGAGATACGATGTACGTCGCCTCCCATGACGGCAAACTCTATGCTGTCACCGATATTGAATAACAGTTCGTCCCCTTAAGTCGGTGACCAGGTTTCTAACCACGACAACCTCTCCATGCCCCAATTCTTCCCATTGCCCACTAAAAGATAGAGTCACGGGCGAAAGACGATAAGCGCTCCTCGCTTCCAAGCTTACCGCACATTACCTCGGGACATATCTTAGTTTATTCATTTGGATACGGAAGTAGATGCTACTCAACCTGGATGCCATAGATTAAGCTTGACCTACGCTACCCTCGGCGCAGCATGCTTTATATGTTAAGTCAAGAATATATCGCTATTTCGGTAACTGTTCACGTTTGAGGGGACGGAAACGGTTTGCAGTGGAAATTCCGTACTTGGTTGCCCCTCCACAAGAGGCCGAATAGTCGGCAGATCCCCGGAAGTCTGAACAGTCACCTATTTCGGTAACAGTTCAGAGTTGCGGGGAAATGAGCAGTTGACGGCAGGCGGCGAGAGGATTTAGACCCTGGGCGCGCCAGGTGCCGAAGAGAGAGGCCAAGGTCATCTTGCTCTGTGTGCCTTGCTCCGAGCGGGTGCCGCCGCTGATCTTGCGACTGATGACCAGGTGGCGCAGGCTGCGCTCGGCGGCGTTGTTGTCCGCTGGCACGTCCGGTTCGGCCACAAAGACAAAGAGTTCCCTGATGTGGCGTTCAATGCGTCGGCACAGCTTGGCCTGGGTTGCCGACGGTTCGTGCCGGAAGGGTTGGCCGAGGGCCAGCAGTTGTCGTTCCAGGGCCAGTTGGGCGGTGCGCCGCCGCTTGGCCTGGGGATGAGTGCAGGCTTTGGCCCGGTCGTAAATCCCGTGGACAGCGTCGGCCCACCTGGCCAGTGGCGTATCATCGGGGTAGAGGGTGCGCAGGTCATGGATGTCCCGCAGCAGGTGGGCCCAGCAGCGTTGCTTGGGGCCATCGTAATGGTGGTAGGCAGCGTAGAAATCGCTGACCAATACTCCGGAGAAAGCATCGCTCAGGGCTTCATCCACCACCGTCTTGCCCCGGCCCCGCCGCAGAAAATACCGCTCGGTGGGGGTGCTGAAAGTCCACACGTAGCCGTTGGCCCCGCTCTGACGCCAGCCGGTTTCGTCGGCGTGGACCACCGGGCTGGCCCGGACGCGGTCCAGTATGCCGGCTACCATCGGCTGGGCCTTTTGCGCCGTCTGACGAATGGCCCCGACGATGGCGCCCCCTCGCTGACGCGCAGTTGATGTACGGTATCCAGATACCGCTGGATGGTGCGGAAGGGCATTCGCCCCTCTTCCCGTAGCGTGGCGACCAGGCTGAGCACGTTGACGCCGAGGCGCTGCCGTCCCAAAACTACACCGTCCAGTCCCGCCGGGGGCGTGCAGCGGCGCCGGCACGCCGGGCAAGTCCGAGCAATGTAGACGTGCTCGGTGACCTGTACCGGAGCCACCGGCAACTCGATGACTTCCCGAGTGCGCTGAGTCCAGCCCCCAGTCAGGTGAGTCCCGCAATCGGGACAGTTCTCCATCACGTGCTCCACCCGCTGGGTGGGCGTCATGCGCCGGCGGGCAAAGCCGTGGCGTCGCTGCTTGTGGGGCAGCTGCTTCACCGGCGGCTGGCGGCCCGATTTCGCCTTCAGGCCGGGCATCCGGGGCGGGCCGCCCGGTTTCGCCTGGCCTTCCAGTTCGGCAATCCGCCGCTCCAACCGCTCAATCACCCGCTGCTGTTCCAGAACGGTGGCCTGTAGTTGGGCAATGATGGCGATGAGGACATCGCGGTCGGCGGCGCTCAGAGCCTGCCCCTGACCCGAACAGGGGCCAATTTCGGTATCCATGCCCTGTATATGACATAACCACTGCCACCCGCGCCAGCGTTCGGCAACCCGCCTTCGGCCAATTCAACCCACCAACTCTGAACAGTTACCTATTTCGGGATGGATTGACTTCCGCCAGGACGATAGTTTATATTACATCAGCACTTTGACAGATTGGGTTGTTAATGCTCCTGATCAATCGATGTGCTCACCCGTGTTCCGGGCCCCATAACGTGGTTTCATTCACCTGGCGTGCCTTTGATGCAGGTAATCGCTTTTCTGAATGGCCGGTTCTCGTACTTGATGGTGGCCAGACGGTAGCCCCCAGGTATTTAATGGATTGGAGGTTCATTGATGACGCACTATTGGTTCTGGAAGCCCAAGGTCCTGGTATGCACACCCCTGATGCTACTCTTGTTGTTCGCCGTGGCTTGCGGGGCAACGGCAACGGCCACACCGGTACCTCCCACTGCAACCACTGCGCCGGTGGCGGACACCGCGGCTCCTGCCGCTACCGAGGCACCGTCGGCCCAACCCCGAGCGACGACCGCTGCCGCAGCACCCACCGCAGTGCCCACAGCTGCTCCCGCGGTGGCCGCGCCTGTTCCGGACTGGGTGAGCATCGGACAAGGGAAGCACTACAACGGCGTCATACCCATAGCGACGTGTTCCAAGCCGGGGTTCTGGGATGTCCATTACGGTGGTAGTTCGTGCAGCACCCTCAGACCGTCCCACCCTCGGTTTAACCAGCTGTTGGAGTGGAATCCAGTCCAGACCGATGAGATACAAGGCGACCTGGCGGAAAGCTGGGAGATCAGCGACGACGGCAAGCTCTACACCTTCCGCCTCCACGACGCCCAGTGGAGCGATGGCAAGCCCGTCACTGCCGCGGATGTTGTGTTTACCCTGGACCGGATAGTGGAGCCGGGAGCGATCAGGGCCCGAACGGCGGCGCTCCGGAGGTTCTACGAGTCGGGAACTGCCGAAGCCATTGACGCGAAGACGGTGAGGGTGCCCACCAAAATTCGCGCGGTGACTTTCATGCTGAATATGGCTTCGGACTACATGGTAATGTACCCCAAGCACATCGTAGAGGGGCAGTCACAGGATGATCTGAATTGCTGCCCGAAGAACCTGATCGGGTCAGGCCCCTGGATATTCAAGGACCAGATCCTCGGAGAGTCCTACGAATACGAGAAAAACCCCAACTACTTCAAGGAGGGCCGTCCCTTCTTCGATGGCTTCCAGGCCTTCTTCATCAAGGATAAGGCCAGGCTCATGTCGGCCTTCAAGGTCGGACAGCTCTCGATGAGCTACGCATTCTTCAGTCCTAGCGTTCAACCCAAGGACCTGGAGATCCTGGAACAGGATACACAAGGCAGGATAAAGAAGTGGGTAATACTGGATTCATCGCGCGAATTATATATGAACGTGAACGAGCCGCCCTTCGACAACCCCAAGGTGAGGCGTGCTATATACCTGGCAATTGACCGGCAGGAGATTTCAGAGGTCGTTTGGAATGGCTTTGCCAAACCGGGCAGCTTCTTCCCAATTGGGATGGTGGAGGACCAGGCTGAGCTGGCCCTGATGCCGGGCTACCGGCAGCCCAAGGACCAGGATATAGCCGAGGCCAAAAAGCTCCTGGCGGAGGCCGGTTTCCCCGAAGGCTTTGAGACCAGCATTAACATCTCCATGCAGCGGCATCCCTCATTGCTCACGGTGAGCTGCTCACCGACCAATTACGGACAAAACTGGGCATAGATGCCCGGATTAGCTCCGTGGACCTGGCTACCTACTACGTCCAGCTAAGAGATGGCACCCATCCCCTGAGTCTTGGGGGCACTGGCTACCCGGTACGGGACCCCTCGGAGACTCTTACCCAGTTCTTCCAGCTGCCCTCGCTCCGGAACTCTTATGACTGGAGCCATCCCAGGATTGATGAACTGAGCGCGATCCAGGAGGCGGAGTTTGATCCGGAGAAGCGTCAGGCCATGTTCAAAGAAATGGCCGACATTCTTCACCAGGGGGAGGGCCACTACGTGCCGCTCATCTGGTTCCCCCTATCTGGAGCCTTGATTACCGGATACAGAATTTCCATGTGACCTCATTTTCCCAGAACATAACCAAGCTGGAGCATCTCTGGTGGGACGAGGACGCGAAGGTACCGGGCAGCTAGCCGGATGAGGGACTGGCACGCTGGGCTTATAAGCCTAATCCAGACTGAACTCTAAGGAGGAATCGTGGCGCAGTACGTGATGAGAAGGCTGTTCCTCTTTATACCTACCTTAATCTTGGCTACCATGATGGTATTCGCCTTGTTCTGGATAGTTCCCGGGGACGCAGCCATGATGATCCTGACCGGGGAGGAAGGTGAGGGCGGCCGGGTCGATATTGAGGACCTTGAGCGGTTGCGGAGCGAGCTGGGGCTGGACCGGCCCATCTACGTGCAGTACGGGGAGTGGGTGTTCAATCTGCTGAAGGGTGACCTGGGTACGTCCATCTGGTACCGGATCCCGGTTATGGACGAGTTGAAAGACCGGTTCATCGTCTCCATGGAACTGGCGGTGATGGCCATTCTGATGGCCTTTGTGGCGGCGGTGCCCTTGGGAGTCATCTCCGCCGTGAAGCAGGACACCAAGGGCGACTATGCTAGCCGGATCTTCGTCCTCATCGGCATTGCCATGCCCACCTTCTGGGTCGGCATACTGACGGTGTATGCCCTGGCCTACATCTTCAACTGGCTGCCTCCTTTAGGCTACGCCAAGGTCTGGGAAGACCCCCTGACCAACCTGCAACAGTTGATATTTCCCGCCTTGGTCCTTGCGTTTCATGACCTGGCATTCACCGCCCGGGTGACCCGCTCCTCGATGCTGGAGGTGATGCGAGAGGACTATATGAGAACCGCCCGGTCCAAGGGTCTTAGCGAGTGGGTGGTAACTGGGCGCCACGCCCTCAGGAACGCCCTTCTGCCCGTCATCACCGTGTCCGGCTATCAGTTCGGACGCCTCCTGGGCGGGGTAATTATCATCGAGGTCATCTTCGTGGTGCCAGGCGTGGGGTCTTTCCTGATAGACGCCATCGTCCACCGGGACTACGTTGTACTTCAAGCGGTGGTTCTACTCACCGCGGCGGTAGTCCTCGTCTTGAACCTCGTTATTGACCTGTTTTACGCCGTCCTGGATCCCAGGATCCGTTACGGGTAAGGCAATTCAGCGAAGAGGAGACCACTATGATAGAACGTGAGAGCGTTGAGATAACAGCCCCTTCCCGAGAAAGGACTGGGGTTTTAAGCCCGGGGCTTGCCGCTGTTCGAGCAGTGGACGCCTTCTCCCGGCGGAAGCCCCTGGGAGCGATAGGCGGAGCGATAACCCTGCTCCTCATTCTGGTTGCCCTCCTGGCCCCGATTATTTCCCCTTACCCGCCCCGTGAGACCCACGGGAAGTTCGTATATGCTCCACCGCAGAGCGCATTCTATCTGGGAACCGACCATGTGGGTCGTGATGTGCTGAGCCGGCTGATACACGGTGCTCGCATCTCCCTTTACGTGGGCTTAGGCAGCGTATTGATCGGCATAACGGCGGGCTTTGTCGTGGGCGTGATCAGTACCTACATCGGAGGGGCGCTGGACCTGGCAGTCCAGCGCGTGGTGGACGCCCTGATGGCCTTACCCGGCCTCATCATCGCCCTGGCGATCATTGCTGTGCTGGGCCCTTCATTGAACAACGTTATCATCGCCATCGTCGTTGGGATGATAGCGCCGGTCGTGCGTACCGTCCGCTCCCAGGTGCTGTCCATAAAAGAGCTAGACTACGTAACCGCAGCCAGAGCGGTGGGCGCCTCCCCAGTTGCGCATCATTTTCCGGCACATCGCACCGAATTGTTTCGCTATCTACCTTATTCTGGCTACTTATTATTTGGGGTTCGCCATCATCATCGAGGCCTCGTTGAGCTTCCTCGGAGTGGGCGCACCCCCAGATGTACCCAGTTGGGGTGCAATGTTGACCAGGGCGGCTCAAGAGCACATAAAAACAGCGCCGTTGGTCGCTATATTCCCTGGCCTGGCTATCTTCATAGTAGTACTGGGGTTTAACCTTCTGGGCGACGCCCTGCGCGATGTTTTTGATCCTAAGCTGAGGGGCCGGTAGAATTCCTGTATTGTTCTTCAGTCGGCCATTAGCTGGGTCAGACTCTCCTCAGGGAGGCCGGAGCCTAATGAATGGTAAGGCTTACTCTCAGGGAAGCCTGGCGTTGATGGTTGATGCTGCCCATCAGTACATCGGCCAGACAGGCACGCGGAACGACATCATTGCCAAATGCTACCAGGAAATCGGCTTGATTGTAGCTGGGGCACCCGTTCACCAGCGGGTGGCCATCTCCTTAACCGACCAGTAAGCTGCGGCGATGCGAAATGCCGTCCACCGTTGGCGTTGGGAAAGGAAACGGAAGCACTCCAAGGACTAATCCACGTAATCGCTCATTCTTCATCTAGCTCCAAATTCCATTGCACACATCCGTGCAAGCGCGCAAGGCTTACATTGTCTCCTCCTATCAAAAACACCGAGCCGACGGTTCGGACCGCGGGTAATCATCACCAAAAGAAGGAAGGAATGTAGGGAGAGTGTTCCGACCCCTTTGACAAGGCCTCTTCTAGTACTCAATCAAGTCTGGAAAGGCAGGGATAGAGGCGATGCAATTTGGATCGGGCATCTTGAGTGCTGAACCGCCAGTTGATGGTGACGCCCGCTGCGTTGCGCTCGGTCTCGTAGGCCGTGATTTGGCGTTGCAGGGCGTCCGCGTCGGGGTTTCTCCCCTTGAGACAGCGCGGCTCAACGCGCTGAATTCGATCTCCGCCATGTTCAACCAACTGGCGTGCTTGGGCGTGTGGTGAAACTCGAGGCGCTTCACGATGCGCCGGGCCTCAGCAGCCGGGAACGTCTCGTAAAGGGACGCCATACGATGGGTATTCAGTTGTCCAGCACCACGCGGACCACCGGGGCATCGGGGTAAGCCTCATCCACTAGCCAGCGCATCTGGTGGGCGAAGTCCTGCATGGTGCGCCGCTCGGTGATGGCCAGGTGGCGCCAGCCCGCCAGGGGTTCGCAGGTCAGGAAGATGTTGCGGGTGCCGCCGCGTCGATACTCGTAGTCCTGCCGCCGCGGTCGTCCCGGTTGAGGGCGGGCAACGGCTCCCTGACCTCGGCCAGCAGTTGGGTGGAGGTCTCGTCAAAGCACACCACCGGCCGATCGGGGTCGTAGGGTTCGGCATACAGGTCCAGCACGTCCTCCATGGCCGCCACGAATTCGGGGGCCGCCACGAATTCGCCGCCTACTTTCGGGATGCACCATTGCTGCTTCCGCCACGGCTTGAGGCGTGTTTTTTTGAGCCTGAGCCTTACCGTCTCGTAGGACAGCGATGGCACCAATCCCAACTCCACCACCTTGCCAGCCAACAACCGCAGGGTCCAGTGCTCATGGCCCTCGGGCGCGTCGCTGCACGCCAGCGCAATCAGGTGGGCTTCGCCCCGATCGTCCAGCTTGCGATACCGGTTGGCTTGGGGATGGTCGTGCAGCACGCCCTCCAACCCCTCTTCGGCGTACCGCCGTTTGGTGCGGAACACCGTGCGCTGCGACGTGTCCAGAGCCGCCGCCACCTGGGGGGCGCTCCACCCTTCGTCAGTCTTGAGGAGGATGCGCGCCCGATTGATGACCCGAGCGGAATGCCGCCCACTGTGGATCAATCCCCGCAACTGCTCCTGATCTTCCGACGACAACCGTACCGCGTATTTCTCCTGAACCATGGATGTCGCACCTCCCGCACCACTGTTTGCCAGTCAGCGTAACAACCCTGGCCCGCCCCGCGCTTCACCTGCCGGTGCAAGTTTGACTGAGTACTAAACCAAAGCCGAGGTGAAATACGCAGAAAAATGGGATAAATTTGTGGAGGAACTGGGCCAGAGAGTGCAGTAGTTGGGGTGGGGGGGTAGATGATGAGCGTGAGGGAGATAGATCGGTCTTTGGAACAATGGCAAATGGAAGTCAAGGATTTGCGTCGACGGATGATCTTGGCACCGACGCCAAGGGAGCGGGAGCGGTGGTACGCCATCCTGTTGCTGGCCCAAGGCTGGAGGGCATCGGCCACGGCGGCGGCGCTGGAAAGGGACCCTCACACCATCGGACGATGGGCGGCGGCCTTTGGTGAGGGAGGGCCCAGAGCCCTGATATTCGAGCAGACCGGTGGTTCCCCCCCGCCCTTGGCGAGGCGCAGCGGGAGGAGTTGAGGGCGGCGGTGCAGCAGCTGCCTGCCGCGGCGGGCCTGGACCTGGCCAACTGGAACTGGAAGGTGGTGCATCGGTTTGTCTGGGAACGCTTCGGCCTCAGCCTGTGCCGCAGCAGCTGCCTGACCTACCTGCGCCGCTTGGGATTTGCCTTCAAGCGTCCCAAGAAGCGGCTGCTGAAGGCGGATGAGGAGAAACGGGAGGCCTTCGTGGCGGCGTACGCCGCCCTGCGGGAGGAGGCAGTAGGGAGCGTGGAATCGTGAGACCCCACGGCCCTGGAACAATATTTTAGAGGGCAAGCAAACCCGAACTATCTGTCAGGACAGGAGCGCCAGGTGTGAATGCGACGCACGATCCCCCAGTAGACAGGGTACTAACCTGGAGCTGCCATCGTGGACCGGAATCCTGGTGACCCAGGGACATACGACCTGAAAAACGTCGTCTCCAGGCGGACCCATACCATGAAAATTGCTGGCCTGGTCCGACAGGAGTGTGAAGTTGGGGAAACCCCAGACTCCTTGCTCTGTCCTTCGGGTCAACCAGATCATCATTCGGCGGTAGCTCAATGAAAGAGCGTCGCTCTGATAGCACGAAGGCCGCAGGTTCGAATCCTGCCCGCCGTACCAAAAAATTCCTCCGGCACACACCGCGTGCCCCGTTTGCTTGGGGCGCTAGTAACTGAACTAGCGCTCCCCGCGCTTCCTCTCGAAGGCGTGAATACCGAGCCAAAAATCAACCTTGCCAAAGGAGCAAAACATGAACAAGATCACCATTATCGGCAACCTCGGTCGGGACCCTGAGATGCACCACAGCAACTCCGGTCAGGCCATGACCCGCTTCAGCGTCGCTACCAACCTCGCTATACCACCGCGGCCGGCGAACAGCGCGAAGAGGTCGAGTGGTCCAACTGCACCGCCTCCGGCAAGACCGCCGAGGTCTGTAACGACTACCTGACCAAGGGCGGCAAGGTCTACATCGAAGGTCGCCTCCGCTCCCGCATGTACGATCGACAGGACGGCGCACCCGCCGTTTCTCTGGACGTCTTCGTCACCGAGCTGGAAATGCTGGGCGGACCCCGTGTGCAGACCCGCGAGCAGCAGAGCTACGCTCCCGCCTCCAGCCCGGACGGCTACGGCCCGCCTTCGTTAGACGCCTCCCCTTTAGCGGAAGGCGCCCTGGACGACCCTTTCGAAAATCGGGGTGTCCCAGAACAATCGATCACTCCACAACGAGGCAACTGCCGGCTTCCTGGAGAAACGATGATCATCACCATATCGACGACGCAAAACCCGGCCACGGACCTGGGATTCCTACTGCACAAGCACCCGGACCGGTACCAGACCTTCGACGTGCCCTACGGCAAGGCCGACGTCTTCTACCCGGAGGCCAGCGCCGAACGCTGCACCGCCGCTCTGACGCTTCACCTCGACCCGGTGGCGCTCGCCCGAGCCAAGTCGGGCAACTCGCCCGATGGCTACGTGAACGACCGGATCTACGCCGCCAATTCCCACCTGAGCGTCGCCATCGCCGAGGTCTTCAGCAACGCCCTCAAGGGGCGGAGCCAGGAGCGCCAGGAACTGGCCGATGCGGTTACCCGCGGAAGGCACGCGTCGAAAGGCCTGACCTCAAGGGGGCGAACGAGTCGTTCGGGGAGATCTTCGAACCCCTGGGCTACCAGCTCACCCTGGAGTCCCATGCCCTGACCGACCTGCCCGACGAAACAGAAAGCAGCGGCTACTACACCCTTCACCTCGCCGGAACCATCCGGCTCCAGGACCTGCTCAGCCACCTCTACGTCCTGCTCCCCGTCATGGACAACGACAAGCACTACTACGTCGGCAGCGACGAGGTGGAGAAGCTGGTCAGGCTCGGCGGCCAGTGGCTCGCCGGGCACCCCAAGCAGGACGTCATCACCCGCCGTTACCTCCGCTACCGGCGCGGGCTGGAAAACGAGGCCGCAGCGCTCCTGCAGCGAGCGAGACGGATCGAAGTGGCAGATCGACACTGAAACCCCGGACGCGGCGCCCCTTGCCAACGAGTCCGACCTGGAAAAGCCTCTCCGGCTGGCCGACCAGCGTACCCAGGCCATCCTGGAAACGCTCCGCCAACTCGCCCCGAAGAGCGTCATCGACCTGGGCTGCGGCGAAGGACGCCTCATCGCTCGGCTGGTCAAGGAACCAGATCGAGAAGATCGCCGGTATGGAAGTCTCGCCCTACCGGCTGGAACGCACCCGCCGCCGCCTGGGAGCCAGCAGCCATTCCAAACAGCCGGTGGAACTCCTCCACGGCTCCCTCACCTACCGGGACCAGCGCATGAACGGCTTTGACGCCGCAATCGCCATGGAGGTCATCGAGCACATCGACCCGCCAAGACTCGACGCATTCGCGGAGGTAATCTTCGGCCAAGCGCAGCCCAAGTCACTCCTGGTCACCACGCCAAACGCCGAGTACAACACGCTCTTCGAAACGCTCAGCGCCGGAAAATTCCGCCACCGGGACCACCGCTTCGAATGGACCCGGCAGGAATTTCAGGACTGGGCCCAGACCACGGACGAAAAATACGGCTACCGGGTCAGCTTTCAGGGTATCGGCCCCGAGCACGAAACCCACGGCAGCCCCACCCAGATGGGAGTATTCACCCGATGAACATTTCAATCCCAGAGCTGTCCCTGATCATCATGGTCGGCGCCTCAGCATCCGGCAAGTCCACCTTTGCCAGGCAGCACTTCCTGCCCACCGAGGTCATCTCTTCCGACCTCTGCCGCGCCATGGTCTCAGACGACGCCCAAAACCAGGCCGCCAGCAAGGACGCCTTCGAAGTGCTGCACCACGTCGCCCGGCGTGAGCTGCGAAGGGTCGGGGACTCATACACGGGCGTCGTGGACGCCACGTCGATTCAGCCCGAGGACCGCAAGGGCCTGGTCCAGATCGCCCGGGAACACGACTGTCCCGCCGTGGCAGTCGTCCTGGACATGCCGCTCAACGTCTGCCTGGAACGCAACCAAAAGCGTGAGGACCACCACCCCCACGACCCGATGATCCGGAACCAGCACGGGCTGCTGCGCCGGCAACTGAAACATCTCAAGCGGGACGGCTTTCACAAGGTCTATACGATCAGCTCTCCTGAAGAAGCCGGCGCCGCGGTGGTCGAGAGAATCCCCCTGTGGACTGACCGCTTCGACGAGCATGGACCCTTCGACATCATCGGCGACGTTCACGGCTGCTACGATGAGCTGACCGCCCTCATGGAGAAGCTCGGCTATCACGTGGACCGGGAAAAGCACACCGCCCGGCATCCCGAAGGACGCAAGATCATCTTCGTCGGCGACCTGGTAGACCGGGGTCCCGGCTCGGACCGGGTCCTGGCCATGAACATCGTCCAAGGCCTCAAGGCCCACTGCGTGGTCGGTAACCACGAGGATAAGTTGCTGCGCAAACTGCGCGGCCGCGACGTAAAGGTGTCCCACGGGCTGGCCAGTACCCTGGAACAGCTCGACGCCAGGGACGAAGAATTTCGCCAGAACGTGGAGGAATTCCTGAACTGGCTTCCCCATCACCTGCGCCTGGACGACGGCAACCTGGTGGTGGCCCACGCCGGCATCAAGCAGGAATACCAGGGCCGAACCTCCCGCCGGGTACGCGGGTTCTGCCTCTACGGCGAGACAACCGGCGAAAGCGACGAGTACGGCCTGCCGGTACGCGCCAACTGGGCCGCCGACTACCGGGGAGAACCCGCCGTGGTCTACGGCCACACCCCCGTCCTGCAACCGGTCTGGCTCAACAACACGATCAACATCGATACCGGCGCCGTCTTCGGCGGCAAGCTCACCGCGCTACGCTATCCGGAACGGGAACTGGTTTCCGTGCCCGCAGGGCAGTCCTACTACGAGCCGGCCAAGCCCATCCAGCCAGCCCACGCCGCCATGGGCAACAGCCGCCCGGCGCATCTCCTCGACGTAAACGACGTCACCGGCAAGCAGATCATCTCCACCACGCTGGACGGCAACATCACGATCCGGGAGAAAAACACGGCCGCTGCCCTGGAAGTCATGAGCCGCTACGCGTTCGACCCCAGGCTCCTTGCATATATCCCGCCGACCATATCGCCCTGTGAGACCTCTCGCCGGGAAGGCTACCTGGAACATCCGGACGAGGCCCTGCCCTATTACCGTGAGAACGGCGTTACCCAGATTATCTGCGAGGAAAAGCACATGGGCTACCGGGGAATCATCCTGGCGACCCGCGACGATGCTATCGTCGCCGAGCGCTTCGGCATCGAGGGCTATCCGCTGGGAGCCTGCTATTCCCGCACCGGACGCGGCTTCTTCATCGACCCGGAAATGGGACGCCAGTTTCTGACCCGGACCCGTGAGGCACTGCAAAAAGCCGGTATCTGGGACGAGCTGGATACCCGCTGGCTGATTCTCGACGCTGAGATCATGCCCTGGTCCTACAAGGCCCACCGGCTGATCCGGAGCCAATACGCCGCGGTCGGCGCCGCCGCGCAGAACAGCCTGGGAGCCGAGATAGATCTGCTCCGGCAAACCACCGGCCGTGGCCTCGACACCGGCACGGCGCTGGACACCGCCCTGGAAAATGCCCAAAGCCGCCTCGTCACGATCGAACGCTACCGGCAGGCCTACGCCAACTACTGCTGGCCGGTGAATTCGATAAACGACGTCAAGCTGGCGCCCTTTCACGTCCTCGCCAGCGAGGGCAAGGCACATACGGACGAGGACCACGGCTGGCACATGACGGTGGGCTCACGCCTGGCTCAGGCTGACCCCCTGCTCTTCAAGGCGACCGATTACCGGCGGCTGGACCTTGAGGTCGGCAACCCGGATGAGATAATCAGCTGGTGGGAGCAGATGACCAAAGACGGCGGCGAGGGCATGGTCGTGAAGCCGCTGGCCTTTGTACCCAGAAACCCCGAGGGTCGCTTGGTCCAGCCCGCGGTCAAGTGTCGCGGCAAAGAGTATCTCCGGATCATCTACGGCCCGGAGTACGACCGCCCCGACCAGCTGGGCCGGCTACGCCGCCGCAGCCTGAATACCAAGCGGGCCCTCGCCATCAGGGAGTTCGCGCTGGGACTCGAGGGCCTGGACCGGTTCGTGAACCAAGAACCGCTCTACCGTGTCCACCAGTGCGCCTTCGCGGTGCTGGCGCTGGAGAGCGAGCCGGTGGACCAACGCCTGTAACGTCCCGCCAAGGAGAAAACTCATGCCCCAAGTCTTCATGCTGACCCGAGGCATGTGCTCGGACTATCGCTAAATCGCCGCCTACTCCACCCGGGAACAGGCCGAAGATCTGGCAAAAGCCATCGGCGTCGACGCCCGCGTGGAAAAGATTCCCTTGGACGAACCGCCGGAGCGCTGGTACAGTATCGCCGTCACCATGGACCGGGACTGCTCGGAACCCGCTGTCGAGTTCGATATCCCCGCGCCAGACCACCACGGGTGTCAGTACTTCGAAGGATCCGACGCCATCGTCTACCGGGTCCACACCGCGGACCGGGAACGTGCCATCAAGGTCACCAACGAGACACGGAGCCGCATCCTGGCCTGGGGCCTCTGGCCGAATCCAAGATCGTCGGCAATGGACCTGTCCAGGGCCAGCTACATTGTGTGCAGCGCACTCATGGCCGGAACATGACACTCACAGGTGCGCCGCGCAAGGCGAATGAGCCAACGGGCAATATCATACTGCTTATTCGCCTGCGGCATTGCTTTTGTGATATTCCTGTCCCCAATCTCCGTAACCAGTTAGATGGAGCCACAACGTGTCATCTGTAGAGTTTCTCCGCGCACGATTAATCGGAACCAGATTCAGTGCAGGCACCATGCCCTTGGAGGTCCTTAAGGACCTGGCACTCCTTCAGGAGATGTTCATCGAAGTTGCCAGGTGGCATTACCTTCAGGCTAACCCAGAACGACGGCGAGCGCCGAAAGGCTTCGCCAACGCGGTCAGCCTGAACCTGAGATCCGTCGAAACGGGAAGCACAATCATCGGAATCGACCTTGAATCCAGTGTCGAAGATCTGCCCCTTTTGCAAAACAACCTCCCTTATCAGCCATATTTCGAGCAGGCCAGATCCGCTATCTTGAGTGTGATCAGTTCCGCGGAGCTAAACGAACCGGCCACAGTTCCGTTCAATCGGGAACACTACGGCTTTTTCAATCGGTTGGGGCAAACCCTTCGGCAGGGCGAGAAGGTCGAATTCCTTCCGCCGTCGACAGACTCAGGAGCCACGCTCGATACCCAGGTGCGCCGAAGGTTGAGCATGCAATCACGCAGCGCTCGAAACTTTAGGCAGGAAATGTCCATCAATGGCTTTGTACCCGCCGCGGACCAGGACGCAAAAACGTTCGACCTCCAGCTGGTCGACGGCCGCAAAGTACAGGCTCCAATCAGAGAAGAACACTGGGAACCTTTGTTGCAAGCTTTCAATGACTACCGCAGCGAAGAAGGTTGCCCAGTTCGTGTATCTGGCGTCGTCCTCATGGACTGGAACGAGGTCCTCATCGGCATAGAGTCAGTGACCAACGTAGAACCACTGGATCCGTTGGACATCACCGTTCAACTGGAGCAGTTGAAGCTTCTCCCCGACGGCTGGTACGACGGCGACGGCCATCGCTTCGACCCAGCCGCCTCGACTGGCTAACAAACATACTAGAGGGCCACTTTTCCAGAATCGCGCCTCTGCCAAGGCTGTACCCGATGATCGAAGGTGGGATCAGAGCAGAATGGCGGATCGGGACCAGGACCATCAAGGCTGACTTCCGACCTCATTTCAGGAGACCGCCTACTGGCACAACTACGATCTGAACTCTCGAGAGAGCGATGACCGCGACCTGGACCTAAATAACCATGAACATCTTGAATGGGTGGTCAACCAGTTTCCGGAGGACGCGCGTGAATAATAATACGACGCTCCTTCGTCAGGTCCACCCCAGTTTTATGAAAGGGGGCGAACCAACTTCCCAAACCTTCAATCCGACGCGCGAGCACGAGTATAAGCTCTCCAACTACGACGGAGACCAAATATCCCCTGAAACATCCTGGCGACATTACACCAACGTCTTGCGCAAAAGTTCGGCCGGTGTTCTGGGTCTCCTCGTCGCGCATTATTTGGCCCAGGGACTCACCCCAATCCCTGATCAGCAACCTGATTTTCCGGAGCACGTGAGTGTCGACTTTGCTGCACTGTCCAGGAGAAAGCGCGAAGACACGGCGAAAGACCTCCGCGACCTGGCCGTCATCAACGGCTGGCTCTACCGGGCCAATATCTGAACACCGCATCTACTTCATTCGTCACACCAGGTGATGTGGGCCGCCAGCCTTCGATCACCTGCGACTATGGAACAGCAGAACGCCCCAGATAGAACACGCCTGGTGCTGATAGCTACCTGAGGGTGTCAACCAATAAACTTGCCGGTTTACCTCCCATCCCTTGCCGCACTTGCATTGGACGCGACCCAAGGATGAAAAACATGAAAGAAATATTCCTGGTCACCCGCGGCGGCTACTCCGACCACGGGACCGTCGCCGTATTCTCCGCCCACAAAAGGGCCTCGGCCTACGCCGAAGCCCTCGGTGACGCCCGCGTGGAAAAATACCAGATGAACGTCCCAACCAGGGAATGGTGGCAGATCGAGGTGACCATGGCCCGCGACGGCACGGTTATCTACTATTCCGATCCGGACGTCGACCAGGACCACCTCGGCGGCGCCAACTACGGGTTCAAACGCTTCGATCAAGACGGCAACATAGTCTACCTGGTCCAGACCGACGACCCCACGAGAGCCGTCAATGAGACTGACGAAGCCCGGAGCCGTATCCTGGCTCTCAATTTCTGGCCCGATGACCTTCAATTCTCCAGAGAGCGATTGATGGCACAGGAAAGAGTCCGCCTGGCCCTGTCGTCTCCGCCTCTCACCGTCGCCCCGTAGCTCAGCGGACCAGAGCAGCCGGCTCCTATCCGGAAGGCCGTGGGTTCGATTCCCACCGGGGCGGCCACCTCACACTCTCCCCGCGCCGTCCAGCCGGCAGCTGCAGTTGATGAGCGCCGCGGAGATTTCCTACTTTCACAACCACGCCCGGGAAATCTGCCTGGCCAACCTGGAAGACCCAGAAGACGCCGGCAAGGCGGCAACGGAATTCTTCAAGAGACACGACAAGAACATCGACGCGATGCGCGACTCGCAGAATCCCGACGGCGGGATTACAACGGCCTTTTTCGGCCGCATGGTAACCGCCGACTACGCCGAAGGTGGACAGGCCGCGGTATTCGTGAGCCATGCGCTTACGACGCATGAAGAAGAGTCGGAGCGGGACTTCTTTGTCGGCATCGACGACCTGACCGGTGTTGCCGGGCACATCAGCGACAACTCTGAGCTGAACAGCGGCATATTCTACGGCTACGTCGTCATCGATCTGCCGCAGCTTTTCCGGAATACCCGGGGCTGGACCGAAAACCCCATCGAACAATGTGGTTGGAGTG